TATACTGTTATAATCACAAAATTCGCCAAGGCCTATAAAAAAATATTAATGAAGACAAACAATATTTAATCTATTCTCAATTTGACAACAGACGTCAAGAACAAAAGTTTGACAATAAATAGTATGCATGCGTGTGTTTTTTTCGCCGAGTAACTAAGATGCGTCTGGTTCGTACGTTGGTCTTCTCTATCTTCCTGTACGGGGTGGAGACTTGGTGTCTCAGGAAAAAGGAACGCAAAAAGATTGAGGCGTTTGAAATGTATTGCTGGAGAAAGCTGCTACGCATTCCTTGGACAGCTATGAGAACCAATGTCTCCATCCTCGAAGAGCTGAAGGTCACCAAGCACCTGCTGACTATGTGCCAGGAAAGGATCCGGAGTTTCTTTGGGCACATAATGCGATCCTCATTGCACAGCCTGGAGAAACTCACAATTCTCGGACAGATGGGGGGGAAGCGCGCTAGAGGAAGAGCGCCAGCTAGATGGGTTGACCAACTCAAGGAGGTGACTGGAGACCAGATATGGGGAGCGGTACATATGGCGCAGAACCGGACCGAGTGGAGAAGATTGACATACAGTCACGATCCTCAGCATTGAGGGAACGACCAGAAAGAAAAGAAATGCGTGTGTGCGTCAAATACATGGTATGTAGTGTGTGTAGTGTTTTCTTTATTGATTTAATGTATCTTTTATGCATTATTTAAAAAAATATTAGCATTGTGCACTTCTTCTCTATATTCTCTATAAGTGTGGAAAATTTCATACTCCTCCGTCCGCGCAATTTTCGTAAAAAGGGATACAAAGTTTTTGCTTCGCGTATTAATATATAGATTAACATGAAAATTATAAATGACATTAAAACTTTTTAGGACAACTGGCTGGAATCTTAGGTGGGAGCGTGCCTGCGCCGACGTCATGCGCAGTAAGCACTCGCGGCGGACCGGCATTTCTTTTCTGAAAAAGTTGGACGAAATATTTTAGCAATATGTCTTCTTTACTACCATATTTGATCGATGTAGAACGATCACGTATCTTCGAAGAGCCTCAGCTGACTGTGGCATTGTTGCCTCAAGAATTGTTGTCGCTGTTGCGGCCAGAAAGATCCAGGAGCCAATTTTCATGGAGGCAGCCAGGATTGCGTGAGGGAAGTTCGATTAAGAAGGATAAATCTAAATTCCAGATCAATTTGGACATTCAACACTTTTCTCCGGACGACATTACTGTGAAAATTGTCGATGGCTTCGTCGTCGTGGAAGCTCTTCACGAAGAAAAGCAGGATCAGCACGGCTGGGTGTCCCGGCGGTTCACACGACGCTGCCCGATACCCGAAGGCTGCGACACAGACGCCGTGGAATCCAGACTCTCTTCTGATGGAGTCCTAACTGTGTCCATGCCTTTACAGCGCCGAATCTCTAACGAGCGCAGAGTGCCCATCATACAAACTGGTCCTGTGAAGATATCCGATGAGCCGAAGCCAGAATGCGTTGATTCTATTGAAACGCCGCCAGCAAACGGAGAATAAGCTGTCACAGGCGCATCGCCAATTGCCAAGTGCAGTTTATGAATCTATTTATGTCGGCTTCTAAGTGCATTTAAAGTGTTTGTTTATTTCAATAATTCCTTTTAAAGCAGAATACTCATTTTAGTTTTTTTGTGCAATTCAATAAAGAGTTCCGTATGTGTGTGTGTTTGTTTTAATTAGTTTTATTGCGCATCGACATAAACTAATTCGAAATGAATTCATACTGGTACTTAAGTGGGCACGGAATCGTAACATGACTTGGGAAATGCAAAGGTTTCAAGTTGTTCCTTGTTCTTCCTCTAGGGATGCTGACTATTGCACCATGTAGCCGAATTTGAGTCCTGGTCGAAATCAGTATCTATGTTAAATATATTACGCAGACGAGGTCTCACCGTATTGATTTATTGTCAAATGGTTAAAATAAATATTGTCAATTAGTAGGTTTTATTGGCAGTAACAGGCCAACGAGCCCACTGAGTTTCTCGGCTGATCTTCTTAGTGGGTCGCGTTTCCTATCCGGTGGTAGATTCTTAGAAGCACTACTCTTGCTAGGGCCAGTGTTAGCAAAATCTTCAGATTAGAGCCCCGTGAACTCACCTACTCGCTCGGTTACGCTGGCATAGCCTCTCAAAGCTACCAGGCTAGGAAAAAAAAAGTTGATAATTTGTATATTACGTAGGACATTGTATAAACTTATGTAAGATGATCTCCGACTCGACGCCCGTGTTGCCTGTGGTTATCATAGATTATTCATACATCAGTGCTGTTCCTACTTACAGATAACTAATTTACGTGTATTATCTGCTATCAGAATGCTCTGCTCAGAATCTGCTCAGAATCCAGGATCGAGACTTTCTCCCTCCACGTGTTATAAAGCAGCTGGCATTCACTTTCTGGCTCAAGAGCTAACAAGAGATCCGTGTGAAACAAGTCATGAATATAAATCGCTGAAACTATGAGAACAGTTATCTTATACAAAAAATAATAGTTTAAAAAAACTAACAAAATACGCTTTTATAGAAAAACCAACTAAAAAATAGAAAATAAATTTTAATAAATTTGAATTAAAAATAGTATAAGAAAAAATGATTTTATTGTAAAAAACCGTGGGGTGCTTTTCAGGATATTATCAAAATAACCCTTCTACTCATATCTGTTCATAAAATATTTATAACTAATGATACCATGCACCCCACGCTTTTTTTTACAATAAAATATTTTTTCTTACACTATTTTAATTCAAATTTATTTTAAATTTTTAGTTCGTTTTTCTCTAAAAGCGTATTTTGTTAGTTTTTTTAAACTATTATTTATTTTTCATTTTTTAGTTGAATTTCAACTTTTTTTTTTAATATTGAGCTGTCATCGTTCCTCAATAAGTATACCAAATTTCGAGTTAATCCGACGTTTTCAAGGGGGTCAACATCATGTTGAAAGATTCCGTTACAAACATACATACTAACATACATACATCTGAAGCTAATAAAAGCGTATTAAAAAAGACTTATGGATAGTTTGTTATCTTGTACACCTCTCAGAACGATGTACCTACCGATTACACAAGCAGGGAGCGTGTACATGATTACTATTTGTTCTACAAATTTTACATTTCAATCATCTCAACTAGGATAGTGATTTAATTGAGACAACTTTTCCAATAATTATGTTTTAATTAAAATTTAATCATACCCAAAAACTGGTTTTCATTAAAAACAATACCCTCTCACCAGTTAAATAAAAGCTAAGTTAAATAAGGTATATGTAAAATGTGTACATACTGTGCGTATCATAATCGACGGCCGTGTAGGTACTTGAAGATCAAAATAAAATAACAGCAATTAACTATAGCACATTGTCGAATCTGTTAGTTCACTTTTCGTGAACTCACGTGACTTGTATGGTCTATTAGTAAAATATAGATTCAATAGATTAGGCATCGAAAATAAAGAGGTATTGGGTAAGTATTTGAGGGCGTCGCGACCTTGGGCGCACCACGCTACTTCAACCACGGTCAAAATCTCCAGGCGGCTACCAATTTTAATAAGGGAGCTCTTACCTGACACGTGTCGGAACCAAAAGTTAAAGCAACAATATCAAGTAGACTAAGAAACGAAAAAATAATGACTGCATAAGTAATGCCCGGACGGTTCCGCCTGTCTGTCTGTCGGCCTAGCAAAAGAAGGATCAGGTTCGAAGGAGCATGGCCGCTATTCGTTAAAAAAAGCTCAACTTCTCGTGGTTAAATTTTTTTTTTATTGCTTAAATGGGTGGACGAGCTCACAGCCCACCTGGTGTTAAGTGGCAGCAGTTAGCCGGCAGCATGCGCGTAGCGATCCCTATGGCTTCCGTTCACCACAAAACATCTGTGCATTCGTGAGCTGGTTTACCAGTTCCGTGCAATAAATAAATTAAACACGTATCGTACATCGTAGGTAACTTCTGTTATTAAAGAAACACGTTGACATAAAAATAAAACATAATTTATTGAAAAAAGTTTACAAGTACCTCCTGCAGCACAGATCAGAATCAGTCTTAAAATAATTAAAATTACATTGGATAAATCCTACTACACAGCGACAGCTGAAGGCTCCTGAGATCCGACCTTCTTCATCACAGGACCAGTATGTGTTATTGGAACAATCTTTTCACCAGTCGAAGGTAAGGCTAGCACCTTAGGTGCAGTGACCGTCAGGACACCGTCAGAAGACAGCTTCGATTCCACCGTGTCTGGTAAACAGCCTTGTGGTAGCGCGTATCGTCTGATGAACTGTCTCGACACATACCCGTGCTGATCCTGCTTCTCCTCGTGTTTCCCTTCCACCACGACGTGTCCGTCGACTACCTTCACATTTATTTCATCCGGTGAAAAATGTTGTACGTCGATATTGACCTGAAACTTCTCGTCGTTGGATGTGATTTTAGAGCCCATCTCCTGAAGCGCCATTTGATTCATCGCCGAAGTCAGCTGCTCTATCGGTTTCATTACGTTTTCTATTTGTCGCAAAGTATTTTCCCAGGGTCTGTAAAACTGCGGTTCAAAGACGTCGCGAAATTGATTGTACGGAGACATTCTGTAGCGGTCACGATGCATCGATTGGTTGAAAGGCGACATCCTGTAGAAATCCTGCGGGCCGAAGAGTTCTCGATCCATCAGACGAAATGGTCTCTCCAAATCGTACACGTATGGCAAAATTGACATCGTTTTTTGTTAGTTCGTTACTAGTTTGTTTTATAAAATTCAAGCGCTTATCTCAGAGTATCTCTCAAAAACAACTGAATCAGGGTCGCGCAACTCAGGTATTTATACGTGCCCGATGCCACCGCCACCTATTGATGTTTACAAGAATAACTTTCGAGATGTTTCCAAGTCCAGAATGAAACGACGCCATCTACATTATTCTTGCATTTTCTGGACGAACTTAAAAACTATACGGACACACTCTTCATATTTTATTAAAAAGACATCTGTTGGCGAGTAGCCAAACTAAATCGTAAAATTGTTCTATTTGAACGAAATCCTATCAACGTGATTACAATATTAGATATATAAATGCACTGTTTCTCGATTTCACATCGAGCACATTAAATTATTTATATTCCTGACGTTTTACTGTACATACAGCATAGCGAGTTGTAGAAAAATATGACTCACATTTCGAAGAAGATCAGAAGATAATTGTTGATTGAATGTCCAATATTTAGTTTGAATTTTAATTCTTATTCCTTGGTTATCATATTAGTGTCCTGTTAGAAGTAAATTGAAAGCCAGTGACCAACCTTTGACATGTCCTATTATGATAATAACAACAAATAATTACAGGGCGATACGGAATTTTCTTAGTCACAAAATCACATCTGTTAAATGTGAAGGTCGTGCAGTCGCCTGATGTCGCTCCGGTCACCGTCGTGTACACAAAACGAAACAGCTCTAGCATTAGGAGCAAGCTTAGGAATCTTGGTAACCCTACTCGAGATAGTTTGCACGTTGAACTCCTTGCCGAGTTATCGAGCAACCTAATCCATACATTAGCCTGCTGAGTTTCTCGCCGGATCTTCTCAGATGATCACGATTCCGATCGAAAATTCGATATTTTAGATGATGTTTAGACAAAAATATTTAAAAAATTTTTGTTAATTAATTTCGAAAAGTATGTTAACGGTCAGAGATGAAACATTATTGTACTCATGTAGGAATTATTGCACCGTGCTTAGTGCCCTGTGGGTACACCACCGTCTTCCTCAAAGTTTTTTTTCAGTTGACCTGTATCTGTATCTCTCTTTCTGAGTAACGGCATGTTTCAAGGTAAACTCTCATCAACTTCAAGCACCCGATGTATGTAATTGAAAATTGGCACACATTTCAAATGCGCATCACAATATTCACAATATAATAATTTATTGCCACGGACCAGTACAACTCGCACTTTTAAAAAATTGTTCAGTTTGCTATGCAAAGTGTGTATTTTTGTTGAGTTTTAAACAGAACATAATATCGTTTTAGTTTATAAATGTTCCTAGCAGTTTAATCATGCTGTATATAACGCACATCACAGTTAGGTCTAATGTCCTATAAAGGTTATCGGCAAAGAACTGTCTTCTTATTACGCTTCGGGTTTCTAAGAAACGAACATGAGCTGTTTATTGTTATTTCATTTGTTATTTTTGTTTATAATAATTAGGTGTGTATTATTATTTCGTTTGCTCACTTTTACTAATACCGAGATGGCTAGAGGAATTCAGACTCCATCCGGTAGTATAATAACATTTTATTAAATACATACAATGTTACAGACTTGCATGCTTCAAGCGTATTCTTCTAATTGAAATTGTGTAACTTCCATTTAGTGCGGGACGACGGCGGGAACAACTTTGTTTCCCTAAAGGTTTCAAATTCGGAGTAGCCACAGCGTCTTTCCAGGTCGAAGGAGCCTGGAACGTGTCTGGTAAGAAGCGGCGTTCATTATTTAATGTTAGTGTTGGACTAGACCACATTACGTCGACCCCGATCAAGTGACACCTGTGTGTATGTGTGCGTGACTACTGTAAAGTAACGGTGCTTTACAATTTGAAGAGTACGATAGCCGTGAGTTATCACCGAAACACCGAGCTGAGGTTTCAGGGTGGCTCGGGCTTCGTATTGGGATATCTACCGGTAGGTACTGGCAACACACACACGTACCGGAAAGGTGATTACGTCGAAAAATCAAATAACATTTATTTTTACATTACATTGCTCATTAACACTTTTTATTGAACAACTCTATTAGTTTATTGTATTATGTCTACAATATAACTTACCTAATCTTCGATCAATACTACTTATTGATCGAAGTACCTAATATATAACTTACTAAGATGCTACTCTGAGCGTTGGGCTGGTAGAATACAGTACAATCGTTTGTATACCGCTTGTCTGAATCTGTGTCTGTTGAGAGAAACGCATTGTAGTAGTAGGTGTGGAGTAATTAGAGTAAGGATCCTCATACATGAAAAGTTTTATTAAGGGCGTACAGGAACGAAAAAAGATTGGGAAGCACTGATCTATGCTAGTAAAAGTACATTACTACTACATTACATACTTTTTCCATCATAAAAGCATGACCGTCACAATTCGAAATCGACCGTAGCCTAATAGGTAATTTAGATGTCTGTGATATGGTTGTATCGTATAATGATAAGGTTCGCCGTCAATATGGTTGTCAAGATGAGTACATCTCGTCGCCCAAGGACCTCACCATTACCGATGTCGCCACCAAGTCGCTGCCTAAGCGCTTGCTGTGGAAATCTGTTTCTTGCTAATTAGAATACAGGTACAATCTTGGACCTCGATTTAAGCACCGAAGTTCTTTTACACACGTTTATTCCTTTTGTCTCAATCGACCAGGCAAAGGAGAGAGTATCTGGGACCGATACACCCACGAATACCCGGAGCGTGTCTTCGACCACAGCAATGCGGATGTGGCAGCAGACTCTTATCATAATTTCCGACGTGACGTGGACCTCGTCACTGAACTGTCGTTGTCCTTCTACCGGTTCTCCGTGTCGTGGCCCAGGATACTGCCCACCGGATACAGCAAGTACTGGACTATTAGTATTCGTGATATAAAATAGATTGAGGCGTCACGTACACTGAGAGGCGGTGTACTTACCTGACTATACGCGCTATGCCCGGTACGCGGGAGCCGGCTGCGCGATCGAATCCTGCTGGTGCTACGGGTAGATGTGGATGAGTTACGACAGCATTAGAGAATACCAATCCATAAGTCGTATCTCGTGAATGCATTTCGAACTACAAGCAATGTTTTTGCCGCTGTAGGCTGTCGGACATACGGCCCTCAGGATGTCATGTACTCGCCGTCACTCTTGGACATCAGAAATACCAGGGGCACCCTCAAGTCGCTGCCTGCTGTATGTAGGTAATGGATACTGGTTACATTTAGGATAGTGGTTATTCCAGTTTTGTTTGGAAAAGGGATTTTTGTACGCATTGGGTATTAGTATCGTCGAGATGAAAAAATGTTTCTTTGCGAATTCTGTTATAGATGAAACTTGATTGAACGATAAACTAGCTTCACAATACCGTAAATAATTTAAGAGCTACGAAGAAACCGTTTAACCTAATATCACATACACACACATACACAGCTTCTTTGGATTTGGCATTATGTAACATTCCTTGTCTCCAGTTTAGTGAACGAAGACGGACTCCGGTACTACTCGGAACTAATTGATACTTTACACAAAAACAACATCAAACCGGTAGTCACTATTTACCACTGGGATTTGCCACAGAGCCTGCAGGACCTTGGCGGGTGGACCAATCCAATCATAGTAGATTATTTTGTGGACTACGCCAGGGTATGTTGAATATCGCTTTTTTAGTAGTATCGGTATGAGCTCACGACGTGCCATGTTCGCTTGTGAATTCAACCTCGCATTTCAAAATTATTTTTACGGCATACCGAATAAACTATTAGATACTATGTGATTAATCTTTGACTTCAATGAGATATGTTAAACCCTAGATGGTCTAAATACTGATTCAGAGTAGTTGAACTGTGGTCCTGTGTGCTTAGTGCGAGTTTTTTAACGTTCTCGATAGCGTAAAAATTAACCCAATTTTGTATGGAGTTGGAACAGCGCCCCTAGCGGCAAACGTAGGCAAGCGATCCCATTCCATACAAATATGAGCTAACTTTTACGCTATCGAGAACGTTAAAAAGCTCGCACTAAGCACACTGATGTATTGATATGAGCCAGTTACTGTTCACAACGTTCGGCGATCGCGTCGGCGTCTGGATAACGTTCAACGAGCCGCTGTCGTTCTGCGGCGCGGGGTACGGCGGGGGGGACGCGCCCGGCGCGGGGCCCGCCGGCTCCGGCCTGCAGGACTACCTCTGCACTCACCACACGCTATTGGCACACGCAGCCGTCTACCGCCTTTATAAAGAACACTTTCAGGATAAACAGAAAGGTGCGCTAGTCTCATTTAAAATAAAACTTTCAATGGACAGTTGAAATGACGTCCCGGTGTGGCAATTGCAACAGTTCCATAGACACAGCCCACTGAGTTTCTCGCCGAATTTTCTCAGTGGGTCGCGGTTCCGATCCGTTGGTTGATTCTGCCAAGCATTGCTCTTGCTAGGCCTAGTATCAGCAAATTCTCTCAGCTTGAACCCGTGAGCTCACCTACCCGACCGGGCGTAGCTGGAATAGCCTCTTTGACTAACAGCGAATAGATAGGGAAAAAAGCAATTACCCGAACCCAGTATTTCATGATTTGTGTTGTCTATTGAGGGGTGGGTTGGCGCGCCGCGCTCTTACCGTCTGTTGCCGCGGATGTTATGCAACACACACAGTTGACGCGATCCAATCGAGTGTCGTCGACGCACGTGCCTAAAGGTCAAGATACCAACGAACAAGCCGTCTACCGCTGTCGGTGCTTGCGAGCGTCACCGAGCTACGGACTCACACTACGGTCACTATTTACTGCCAAGGACTATTCTCAAGTTTCGCTTGTAAAAGACAGCATAACGTTAGGGAGGTAACACTAAATCCACACAAATTCTAACATTCTAAAATTAAAAAAGTACATTTTTTGCTTGTTAGGTTTCATTTATTACGTTAGGTATATATTTGGCAGGAAAGATCGGTATTACGTTAGACTTTTCCTGGTTGGAAGCTGCTACTACTTCGCAGGAAGACCAGAAGGCTGCAGAGACTGCCAGACAATTTATGGTTGGTACTCCTACTTTAACTTTGAAAACTCCTTATAGGTACTTTGCGTTAAATTGGTATCCTTCGAGGAATGTCTAGTTGAAAAATGAGAATAGATTAATAATATCCTTCATTCATTCACAGCTTATAAGCCCTAAGTGATGATAGCAGCGAATATGTATTGTTTTCAGTTCGGCTGGTTCGCGCACCCTATTTTCTCCTCATCCGGCGACTACCCCGCAGAGATGAAAAGCCGGGTGGCGTATGTATCGAGGAAGCAAGGGTTTCCGCGCTCCCGTCTCCCAACCTTCACCCCGCAGCAGATTCAGCGACTAAAGGGGGCCAGTGACTTTCTCGGTCTGAACCACTACACGACATACTTGGTGCGTACAGGCTTACTTTTCATACCGTTTTTTTCTTAAGAATTCGAATAGAAAAGGAGAATTAACTATTCTAATTAACAGAAGATGTTTGAGTTTCTTGCCAGATCTCCTTCGATAAATAAAATAAGCTAGATCTTTCAATAACTACCCGATCAGTCGATACCTACCTCTGTCATTTAGGATAAGATGTCCGTTATATTAATGTCGAACGATGCCTCTCCGCCGCGGCGCAGGGTTCGCGTCCCACAGACGAATGGCAATTTTTCTAATGCATTACTTACTTGACATATGTCCACAAATGCCTTCCAAACATAGACAAAATGAAGGAACGTTAGTTATTTCTTCATACTACTTCATAAAAATACAGTCTTCATGTTCTGAGATGTTCATCATCTGACCTAATTAGGCCGCTTTAAGACTTTTTTGAATGTGTCTAATGTTTCTATAATGAAAAGGAGCTCACGGTCCACTCGGTGATAAGTGTTTACCGCAGCCTAAAGACGTCCCAGAGTATCTGTAGTACTGCTTCGCAAAGTAGTAGGCCGGATCGTCACTCGCCAGAACAACAGCTGATACAAGCTGTTTGAGAGAGTCTTATTAGAGTATAGATCGGTTTTGTACATCCTCAGGTAAATCAAGGTAGCGGCGAGATCCACACTCAACCGTCTTTCGGTGACGACATGGGAGTGGTCATTTCACAGAAAGACGAGTGGCCCAGAACTAACTCTACTTGGCTTAGAGTGAGTATCCGCACGCGCAGTGCGAAATAAGGAAATGCAGGGAATAAGGAAACCCGCCTGGGCATTGTAGAATCTATACTAATATTATAAAGAGGAAAGATTTGTTTGTTTGTTTGTTTCGAATAGGCTCCGAAACTACTGGACCGATTTGAAAAATTCTTTTTCCATTAGAAGCCGACATTGTCCCTGATGAACATAGGCTACTTTTTTTAATTTTTTTTTTATTTATTTTTTTTGGTTTCATGTGTGTTTCAATGTTTCCGAAGCGAAGCGAGGGCGGGTCGCTAGTCGAATATAAATATAAACACCTGCCGGTCGATTCTGGTGAGCACTAGGGAGCGAAGACTTGGGAGCGAAGTGTTCCATTGCAGAAGACTCACATTACATCGTTTTGACCGCAGGTAGTGCCGTGGGGTTTCAGAAAATCATTAAACTGGGTGAAAGACAACTACAACAACCCTACAGTGTTGATAACGGAGAACGGCGTGTCCCAGGCGGCAGGGCTGCGCGATACGAAGCGAGTGAGCTACATCGACGCGTACCTACGAGCGCTCAGCGACGCTATATACAAAGACGGATGCTCGGTCACCGGATATACATATTGGAGTTTACTCGATAACTATGAATGGATGAGGGGATTCTCGTGAGTATCGCTGGTGCGAGTGAAATTAACGATAAAAGAATAACAACGAGTAATAAATTCACCCGCAAACACTTTTAATTTCAATATAACTCCAAGAGGGGCGAGCTGTGAACCCTCACTGATAAGTGGCCACCCCGCCACGCCTCATTCTGCCACAAAGAAGTAATTTGTGTTGGGAGCGAGGCAGTCATTGTATCATAGAACTGAGACTTAGACCTCATGTCTTGAGGTGGGTGCGATATTTATGTTGTTGATGTCTATGGGCTCTGCCATTTAACACTATGTGGGCCGTGAGCTTGGTCAGCAGTTATCTCCTGATGGTTGTCTCTTCCAGGGAGCGCTTCGGCTTGTTCGAAGTCAACTATGGCAGCCCCGCCAGGACGCGCACCGCGCGACTGTCGAGCGACTACTACGGCAGCGTCGCCCGCACCGGCTGCCTGCCCAAGCACTATGATAGCTTTTTCATTTAAAAATCCCTTACGCCTTCTTGCCCGGGACGAGGCGCCCGTAGCACCCCAGCCCTGTTCACGCCGCGTACGTGTAATGATGCTACCTAAAATCCTACTGTCGCTGTATTCCGCACCGACTCGATCAACACTCTTATGAAAATATTTCAATAAAAAAGACAATTTAAAAAAAAACAACATTTATTTCGAGAGAAAACTCATTATTTAATATACTTATTACTAGACATTTGGAAGACTTCCTTAATTATAAAATTCGCTGCAAGTTTAGTCCGCACGTTCGTTGTATCGTCCTGTGTAGGGTCGCGTGCGGCGGCGGCGGCGGCGCGCGGCAGACTGGCGCCGGGCGAAGCGTCCCGACACGCCGCCGGCCCGGCGCGGGTCAGTTACCCCGCGAGCGCGTCGCTTATATTCATTAACAGTTGCACTTTGGGAATGTGTTCAATAAATACTTAAGCTAATGGTCTTGATAGTTCCCGCAGCAGTCCTTGGGCCGCAGCGATAATAAGGCACGTCGTGACCTTTCATAAACTCTATAAATTGTCCGAACCGATAATTGTAATGTTTTCATTTAATAAATGATTAAGGTTTACTACCGCGTTTTGGATATTAGCTACAATTTAATAAATACCTACTAAATTCGTTAGTATTATCATCATTACCAAAACAGGAATTTTATGACTAAAATAAATATAAACTTTATATTATTTGTAAATAGATAATACTCGCAATCATATGAGCAGCGTGGAGCGGCGCCGTGCCGCGGGGGGAGGGGGGCGCACCACGCGATTAACTGCATTGTCTTATTATGATCTAGTGCTCGCAGTGTTACACAACCTTCAGATATGTGTTTGCGGATTCAGAGACGTCCTGTCCCTTAAATACTTCGAGTTGATTGGAAGTGACGACGTAATGGAGATTGAAAACATTAGAAACTAGAATAATTCGGAACACGAGGGTGGGACGTGTCGGATCCCGGGGGGCGTCAGGCCTGGGGCACCTTGCACTGGCTGCACTGCTCCATGCCGTTGCTGAATTCTTCGATCTGGAGGGTCATCTCGAAGAAGTTGTACTTCTCGTGGACGAGACGGGTCGCCTCTTCCAAGACTTTCTGCGGGCTGACTCCGCTACCTGCGCGTCAGAGGAGGCGGTGAGGGCGGTGAGGACGGCGGGGTGTGGTTGGTTGGGGGGGGCGGGTGCGGTACGTACGGATGGCGAGGTGCGCGGAGAGCGCGGGCTTGTCGAGCGTGAGCGCCCACATGCGCACGTTGTGGATGCGCAGCACGCCCGGCAGCGCCAGGAACGTGTCCGCCACCTCCTGCAGACACAAGGGACAACCGTAACTATTTCATTTCATACAAAAAATTATAGATAGGTATATTTTTTAAAGATTTATAGCCCGATAACGAGACCTTTAAGCCATATCTTATTTCTTTTTAAACTCTGTTATTTGAATAATGATAGAAAGCGAAATGAGTTTAGTTGATTCATTTTACGCTTTAATTAATTGGGGTGAAATAATATCTTGGCCAATTGGTGGTTATTTACTGAGACATCCTGGTGTTCCGGCGAAGAACTCCTATAGACATTTAACCAATGAAAACAAACCAGAGAAATTTGAATTAAATGTGGAGGCTTTTTTAAATCACGAATAAGGTTATTCGACAGAGAACTAAAGTCATCAACATAGCTCAAAGAGTCAGCAAGCTGAAGCAGTGGGCTGGCCATATATGCTGTAGAACTGACCGAGACTGGGCTGAAGATCATGATGATGATGATGCTTTTGTAAATCATGGTGAAATCAATAAATGTTCACTTAGGCCATGGGACTGTAGACGGGGCGAGTGGGAACCTAAGCAACCAAAGGCCACGTCACTCGACAAGTCGCCTCCCAGTCTCAGGAGTCTAATCTCTGTTGAACTCCCCGACAAGTCCCGGGCAGTCCGCGGATGGAGAGAGAGCACTTCTTGCCTTTCCTAATCTTCCCATTTCACGGATCAGATCAGAAAGAGGAAAATCGTTTCCGTACATTGCTTAGATATTAAGCGAAATGTTAATTTTTTTTTTTTTAAGCAATCACGCCACGTTAACTGGTCCCGTGATAAGTTCGTAAAGAACTTGTGTTACAGGTACCAGATAACGGATATAAATGTAAGATTTTTATTATACACATACATATTATATTTAATATACATCCATAACCCTGGAAAATACATTTATATTTATCATACAAATATCTTCCCTTGGCGGGATTCGAACCCGCGACCCCCTTGTGTAGTGATCATGTCACTTACCACTACACCAGACGGCCGTTAAAGCAGATGTCATCTCTAACAGTAACTTAAAACTAACCTGGAAGTCCAGCCCTCGGGGGGACCCCTCCATCAGCACAAGAAGCGCGTCTTTGATGATATTGAAGGTCGTGATGAGAACCAGGATGGAAAACAGGAACGTGCAGATAGGGTCCATGAGGATCCAACTCGGCTGCAAATTTCAAAATTCAATTCGCTTCAAGCGCAGACAAGTGTAGACTTCAGTCGCGACAGGAACGACGGTACAAGCACTCATTCTGAACTTATCCTATCGCCTTTTCAAATAAAAGAAAAACTTACATTTTATTAGCGCTTTTGTCCGCAGTGCAGTGGAACGCAAATTAAAACGAGATGATGAGCGAGTCAATGACCCCACATTCTGTTTGACTTTCATTGCGGACTCACGAAATATTACTTTACCAACACGTAAATATATGTTCATTTAGTTCTTTGCGTCAAGAAAAGGTACTTTATTGACTTTTCGCTTTTAATAAAGGTAAAATACTAAGAATATAAATATAAAACCAGCAAACGGCTCACCTGGTGTTATGTGACTAAAACAACAATCTTGTTTTAATCAAGTTTTAATCCTATAGTACAAGGCTACTCCGCTACACAAACCGCATTACTGCTTCACGACAGAAATAAGCAGGGAGGTCGTATCTACCCGCGCGGGCTCACAGCCAGTAGTTACGTGAAGTATAACTTTTGCAGGTTTGATTTTTATTGCACAATATTTTGCCTTCACCGCGGAGGTCACTCGTGTACAAGATCGCGGCGGGCGGTACCTCGAAGTAGATGACGATGGCGGCGACGAGCACGCCGAAGCTCTGCAGGAAGTCTCCGAGCACGTGGATGAAGGCGGCGCGCACGTTGATGTTCTCCGCGCGCGCCGCCCCCCCGGCCCCCGCCTCCGCGCCCGCCGCCTCCTGCGCGCCCACACAATTGCACGTTTATACACAAGTGGGCGGGGTATGGCAAGTCATAACAATTATACGCCCATAGACGTCTTGGACTTCATTTTGTGAAAACTAAATCTTTTTTTTCCCATCTATGCTGTTAGCCTTGAGAGGCTATATCAGCTTTACCCTAGCGTGTAGGTGAACTCTCGGGGCTCAAACCAGGAGATGTTGCTAGCACTGGCCCTAGCAAGAGCAGTGCTTCACAGAATCTATCACCGGATCGGAAACGCGACCCACTGAGAAGATCCGGCGAGAAACTCAGTTGGCTGTATCTATGGGTTAATTTACTCGTCGAGCCCTTCGTCGCAAGCGACAGGTTTGAGGAAGGCGGTGACCAGTGCTTAAGGTACTACATGACCAATTTCCTTTTAACGACAATGAAATCCCACAACGGCTTCCGATATTGTTACACTGACCGATAGCATCGCTAATAGGACGACATTAGACATCTTCAAATATCAGAATCATAACACACACACATATCACACTGTTCATGATCAGCAACACTTCGAATAAATAAATAAATATTAGCGGCAGTCTACTTACACATTCTAATTTCAATAGCTACAGTGAAATAATTGTTAGTATTGGCCCCGCGGGTGCGGGTGGAACACTCCCAATGTCCATCACTTTGTTTTAATTAAACAATTTCTTTTAGTTTTCCGTTAGTCGTTGCTTCCCACACAGAGCACAGGGCACTATCGGATGGTGTGGTGTACAGTGCACTTAATTCTATCTCTATCGAGTGTTTATCGATATTTCTCAGTTTGCTATGTGCTGAAACACCAAGGTTGCTTTGTAATCTCTCATATTTAATATAGGCTTTAGCACTTGCTGCAAAGCTATCCCGGGCCTAGTGGCACTCGGGGGTTCATCGTTTAAGCAGACACAATTCAGACTCCAACTCTCCAAAATCCAGAATCAATAAAAAAACCTATAACAAAAACATATTCACCCTGTTGTTGAGGACGGGGTTGCTGGGTCCATGCGAGTGTCCATGAGCTCCTCCCCCGTGCGAGTGCCCGTGCTGGTGTAGAGTCAGGCCCATGCTGGAACACATCACATGGCGACGATAGCAGCACTCGTAAATATGGATATTAACGAATGTTTGTAAGTAAGAATTAGAGAGAAGTGAAACTTCTATAATTTGTTGTTATTGTGTTAAAAACAATCCAATGTTGAACTTAAATGGCTCACACTAGGCGATTTACCTCTTTTGGTACAAAAACAATTACACACGAAACACGAAAGATACACCCCGGTTCAATTTCTCTGTCATGACATTTAAAATTGAAGCATGACAGTTTCTGAAATGCATTAAGTGACCCTAAACACATGCCTATGGTAAAAATCATTACACCTGTTCCTTTTCTTTTTATATATATGTGTATGTGTGGGTATGTATGTGTGTGTATGTAAATATATATATATATATATATATATATATATGTGTGTGTATATATACATGTATAATATTCGCTTACCTATTTTGATTTCCTCGTATATTCAGCACCGTTATTACAATTTTAAGATACTTCTGTAAAAAGCTCTCCACGAGACAGGCAGTGCCTAGTGTGGAGAGTTTTTAGCAAACTGTTACGTGTAAATGTTTTTCAAAGTTAATAAATAAATTATTATTATTATTATTATTATTTTCACCGAACTGTAATTTCGACCACGAGCGGAGTATTCCGGGTCCTGAGGTCACACGTTCACACCCTAAGTAAATACAGTCTTGATATTTACATTTCAATTATAATAGTAATATATAATTAATCAGCTCGTACAGTACACGCTTGAACGTTTACGAATTGCATAGTCTTTCTGCCAATACATAATATATCCCCCTCACTATATGGCGCCGCGCACAGTAGACGAGTACTCACACGAGGTTGACGGCGACGCCGACGGCGGAGGTGATGAGCATGACGGTGGCATCGATGTTGAAGTCCTGGTAGAGCACCCGCTGCACGGCGAGGTACACCAGCACGCCCGTCACCACCCAGATGAGCAGCACCGACGTCAGCGCGCCGATCACCTCCGCGCGGTACCACCCGAACGACATCCTGCCGCCGACACACACCAGGGCGCCGTTACACACGCGCCGACACCCGGGGGCCAGCCGACACCCGGGGCCAGCCGACACCCGGGGCCGGGAGCCAATTGCGTTTCAGTAATCAATCATTGGCTACTCTTAACATATATTTAAATGTTTAGTTATAGCATCGGGTGTAAGTGGAAGAGTTCACGCCTCGCCTGGTTTTAATTGATTTACAATTGACTAGAAAAACAGGCTCAACCACTTAAATGAACTAATAATTATACAAATATAAAAAAGTATGGTATGTATTCATTGCGCGGTAGGCAGAGGCTTGGCTCTGCCTCTGGCATTGCTGAAGTCCATGGGCCGCTGCAATCAGCAGACAGACCCGAGTGCAAACCTATTCGTTTCTACCATCAGTTTTTTTTAGTACAATTATTTAAAATATAATTTGAAATTTTCACATTATACGAACGAAAATTCGTTACTCCACACGATAAGCTGTGTCATAGTGAATATTTCAAATTAAATTTGTATCAAATATAATGTGCAAATTTCTAATTATATTTTAAATATTTGTACTAAAAAAACTTTCCTATTCTATCCAAATGGATAGAATACGAAAGAGTTAGACCTAAGAAAAAATTGATGGATCGCGTGAAGGACTATATGTGTAAGAGGGAAGCGAGCGAAGAAATGGTATATGATAGAGGATTGTGGAAGGACCCCAGGTGACTGAGAGAAGGGTAGGAGAATGATGACGCGCAGCTTACCGTCTGGTGGCGGGTCTGTTAGCGACCCACAGCGAGAACAAGGATATCATGAAACTGGCGAAGTCGGTGAGCAGGTGCGCGGCGTCGGTCGCTATCGCTAAGCTGTTGGACAAGTACCCGCCTGGCGCATGGAAACAAAATGCATGCACACGTTTAGTTGTCTCCTGCAAGCTGATTCTGAATCGCTACAAAAACTGCAATGGACGATCTATTTGCTTAGTGCCAGTTTTTTAACGTTCTCGATAGCGTAAAAGTTAACTCAAATTTGTATGCAGTTGGAACAGCGGCAAACGTAGGCTAAAGTTCCAACTGCATACAAATTTGAATTTACTTTCACGCTATTGAGAATGTTAAAAACTTGGACTAAGCACACGGGTCAGGAAACCTTTAGCAGAGTGAGGTGTGTGAGCAAGAGTCATTCTATGCCTTGTGGATCTACGAAACGGAAGTAGTGATGAAGTGATGTGGCTTCGTTCAGCTTGTTTACACACATTTTTGAATGCTAAATTAAAACGTTTTTGTCATTAACACGTTTTTGCATCTTAATTTGCTATTAATGTAAGTATTCATCAATGAAAGATATCGTCAGATAAATCGTGAGGAACGTATATCGAGTTTGTGGCACATGTAATGCGCCCCTTTCGCACGTGTTTACATGGTATTGTTGGGAAACAATGTTTTTCCAAAGTGTTTCCCGAGCGCTATGACATATTCATCTTCAAACGAGGCTTGTGGAGAGTACTTAACGGTAGGCAGCGGCTTGGCTCTGCTCCTGGCATTGCTGGAGTCCATGGGCGACGGTAACAAGTTACCATCAGGTGGGCCGTATGCTCGTCTGCCTACAAGGGCAGTAATAAAAAGAAACAGCTAATACTAGTAACTTCAATAAATTCGGGTTCCAAGCTATGGGTTATGACTGAAATGTATTGTTCCACTCACCTACTATTTCCCCTATCATGAATATGACGCACAGCACGCTGGCCACGATGAGTTTCCTTCTCGCTCTCTTGTCTATCTCTTCGTTTCGCGATCTGTGACAATGCCCTGGAAGGAATATACCATTTACGTCAAATTTAAAACGTCACGATAGGTGAGAAGCGCGGTGTTGTCAATTGACTACACTGTGAGTAATGCTGGGAGGAAGTATAATACAGCAGATGAACACTGTTTATGCGTTAACTATCTATCTATATATTAATACGTGAAGGAAAAACTTTTATTACCTTTTTACGAGAATTGCGCGGACGGAGGAGTATGAAATTTCCACACTTATAGAGAATATAGAGAAGTGCACAATGCTAATATTTTTTTTTAAATAATGCATAAAAGATACATTAAATCAATAAATAAAACATTACACACACTACATACCATGTATTTGACGCACACACGCATGCATACTATTTATTGTCAAACTTTTGTTCTTAACGTCTGTTGTCCAATTGAGAATAGATTAAATATTGTTTGTCCTTGTTAATATTTTTTATAGTGTAGTCTTGGTGAAATTTGTGATTATAGAAGTATAATAGTCTTTGAAAATAGAATCATAATGGTGTACAAACTTTTAATTTCAATTAATTATAATCGAATTGTACACGAAACCGTAGCCTGGCGAGAAAAGGCAAAGTGCACCACTAAAGTCCCTAAAATTATTACTATTGAATACTACTTACATCCCATATCCAATAACTTCCGATAAACATTAATATAACTGATTAATTTAAAAGATAAAAGAAAACAATCTGATTTTCCACACGAAATTATCTGGAATTAACTCTAAAGGACGATAATAAACTGTGTCCAATCGGAGTGCTTCTTAGCTGTCTGTTATTACTACACATGTAACATGTATAGTGGAAACACACGCTTACGCTCGTGAGAGAATTTCAGTCAGTTCAAGAGCAAGTTCAGCGCCAGGAGAAACGCCAATTTGAAGGTGATGATAGTCAGTGATGTGAGGAATAGTTCAACTTCGTCTCTCAAGGGACAGTCTCCCTGAGCGATATTAACGTTGTGGTATCTATCTATGTTCCAATAGTCGCTTCATGTTGGCTAGGTTGTCAGCAAGCAAAACCATATTACAGACATTCGTGTCAGAATTTATAGAGAATAATTAACCTACTAGGGCTACTAGGTACAAGCTAAAATCCAAAAATATTTGTGTTTCATAATAGCGCAGTATAAAAAAACAATAAACCTGATTTAAAAAAAAATAGCTTAAATAAAAGGAAAAATACAAAAATTTACATGAGCTATATGCATTTTTTCTGCGTAATCTGTAAATTAGCAAGTTGAAAGTAAGCTATTCCAGATATAGTATCAGTTACATATTTAGGTAAACATTGTAAAGATTCCCCTTTTAAAACAAGTGGTAATATATACCCCATACAGTTTTATTCTAAATCACGTTTTAATCGCGTTCAATATTAATAAATCAAAGAAAATTATCCGAGTCGAGTGTGGAGACGTGTCACCCAAGCATCATCAACCATCTGCATATACAATTAAACTTCAAGGTACCTATGAATTGTTCATGAAATGAGGCAGAAACTTATTTCCATAATTTTGTCACCCGTTGAATGCGAGATTGAAGGTTAAGGTTCTCTATTTACATTCTTTATTTGCAAAGCTCTTTTGGCTAACCAGTGACGTCATTTATAAACGAGATTTCAATGACACGTTTTAACGTAACCGATTTCTGTGGACGATGATTCTCTCCCCTGGATTCATTATCGGTGCTTTTAGGACCCTCAAGCACCGGTCACCGTCCTCGTCGATTATTACAAAGAGTTCGACGAGCGAATTGACCCATAGACACAGCCCGCTGAGTTTCTGATCGGGTCTTGGATGGGTCGCGATTCCGATCCGGTGGTAGATTCTGCGAAGCTCTGCTTTTATTTGAGCTAGTGTTAGCAAATTCTCTCAGGTTGAACCGGTGAGCTCACCTACCCGTCCGGACGTAGCTGAAATAGCCTCTTAGGCTACCAGCGACTAGGTAGGGGGAACAAAGATGATTCTCGATAAGGATTACATGGAGCTGCGGAGTTCAGTATAGGTCCGAATTCAGTGAAATAAAATTTCCATTAAGCTATCCGGGCTCAGCATACCCCACTCGTAAATAGATGTGACTGTTTAGTCACATAATACGAGTAGTTTGTCCAGCTCGTGACGCTTAAGATTACGTCTATTATTTGAGACCTTACAAATACTTCACAGTTGTCATGGTCACGGACGAATAAACTGTTTTTGTCGATATCCGAATAACAGTACTAGTAGACGTAACTTCAACTTATTCTCTAACATAATCTACAAATTAACTCAAGCCCAAGGAGTTCCCTTGTATTCGTGCAGGAACCCAGGAGTAGAGCTGCAAGACGAATCATATTTGTATAGGAGTGCAAGTCCCAAGAGATATCGAGAGAAAAACCAAATATTAAGTAACGAGAAATAACGCCATTGTACCATATCCGCCATGCCTCCAAAGGTTCCTAAAGTTTACAAAAGTAATAAAAAACCGTGACTTGAATTGGACGTAGACTACACTAATCGGTAGTGAAGGTCATGACGTCATTACACCGATTTTGGATTTGACACTAACACATTACTTTATCAATGGTTTCTTTTGAATTTAGCAAAGGTATAAGTGGTTCCAAACACATAACGAAAAACGGACATTGACCTCTGAATGTAGCACATAGGTAACCAACAATTTATGTCACAATTCGTTCTTAAAAAACAGGTGAACGTACTAACTAGCTTTCTTTCAGGGATTGAGAGTTGATTTCTGCTTAAGGCGATCTCTATATACAATTTTTTTATAAGTTGGCGCCAGATGAACATGCGTGATTTTTTCCTATTTATTAATTTATAAACATTGCGCAAACATATTGATCAGATTCGAAACCTTAAAACAGTTCCAAACTGAACAACGTGCCGGCGTTTAAAAAATAAATCTATAACTACAACTTCAAATATCCAACTTAAAACTTTCACAAGTTAATTAGCAAACAAGTTTACCACCCCTGGCTGACAACATAATCGACTCCACCGTGCAGTTACCACAACACTACCGATTTCATCAATAAATATTTATAAAGATGTACATATAAATAATAAAACTCGGTCTCAAGAACTAACTGACTGCATTTTATACCAAGAGGATCATACGATTCTATAATCCATTTTAGGAGTCATTGAGAACTAGAACACAAGCCGTCGCATCAACGTAAGCCTACAACAGCAACCGGACTCTAGAAACATCGACTTAGTTGAAGTGTGCTTGGCTTGAGCGGTCGAGTGCGGCCGCGAGCTATACTTAACTGTGAACCTTAAAGAGAATCAAAAGAGAGCGCACTCACTTTCAGCCTCTGAGATGCTTCCGTTCCTTTTCTCCGAGTCATCGCCGTCGGCGCTGGTCTCGATGACCGCACAGCATCCCGTCGACGGGTTCCCGTGGACACAGAATATGACTCTCCGCCCACGGATCTGATTGTCCGTCCCGTACGATACGTGCCCATCATTGTACCTTTAAATAAAACATTCAATAAGTTAAATAACAAAAATATTTACACAAAAAATAGGGTACAGCGGTTGTGAGACTTTTCCCGAGAACGTAAACACGGGGTCAACGGTCTCAAGATACGCAGAGCTGTCTTTCGCTTTATTGGTTCAGGCTTATGGTCTGGCTGCCAAAATTGCAATCCTGACGTCTGTCAGTTATTTCTGGTGATGGGATATAATGAATAATATGACTTACTTTGAAGTCGTCGTGGCCTAAAAGATTAAGACGCCCGGTGCATTCGTACGAGTATCTAGCGATGTGATTGTGCCGGTGTTCGAATCCCGTAGGCGGATACCAATTTTTGTAATGGAATACGTACATCACAAATGGTTACAATTGACTTCAACGGTGAAGGAATAACATCGTGTAATAAAAATCAAACCCGTAAAATTAATTTGCGTAATTACTGGTGGTAGGGTGTCTTGTGAGTCCGCACAAGTAGGTACCCACAACTCTGCCTACTTTTGTCGTGAAGCAGCAATGCGTTTAATGGAAATGTTATGTTCAGCACGATTTTAGCATCGTGTATACACGTGTATAATACACAACAAAACGGCAACGCAATACACAAATTGAATTAGAACGAACATATTGTAAATCAACCGAGCTATCTGCTATGTAGGTGAAGTTCTGATATGGTTCGTAAATAGATTACTAAAACATTGTAAAATGGAATTAAAGTTCAAGTACGTTGTACTACAAACGAATTACCGAATTGAAACAAAACATTTCCAATAAAATTGACTCATTGGGTAGTGGTATTTTAATAGCTTTATTAATATATCTTCTTGTAAAAACGGAAGATTTATAAAAAATAATGCTTATGATGTTTTTTTTTCTTTAAACGCAGGCCTAAAAACCACTCCTGATCCACAAAACTATTTTGTGGAACCAACCAAGCTACGCACGCAGACCGAGAGAACCGACAAACTGACAACCACTCGTCGATGCGGAGATCGGACTCTCGCTGGAAAAACGACCAAAGCGCGATTATACCTACTCGCGAACTGCGAGACTTTGCGTATTGCGCCGTCTCTACTCCTTGGGCTGTTCTAATCCTGCCTCGACGGACGTTTGAACAACGGCCACGAGGGTTTTAGTGCTAATGTACTTTAACACCCTCACTTCCACCACCCCACCAAAAGAACAAGGGGCGTGTGACGTCTCATCTGACCAAAAAATACTTTCAAACTTACACGATTTGTTGTTTAAAAACGGGACACACGTTTTTTCTAGACATGCTAATATTCACCTCAACCGTATCAAGGTCGGAAGTAGGTCAATAAACCTGTATCACGCATTCTGATAAAGAGACGGCTAATCGAGTCAATCGATAGTGGAGATACGGAGGTGATTACACCGGATCATGTTATTACTGTCCTAAATTATTGATTCAAAATGATTAGGCTAGCGTTCAAAGGCACCGATCATGCAACTTAACTGTNGACATGCTAATATTCACCTCAACCGTATCAAGGTCGGAAGTAGGTCAATAAACCTGTATCACGCATTCTGATAAAGAGACGGCTAATCGAGTCAATCGATAGTGGAGATACGGAGGTGATTACACCGGATCATGTTATTACTGTCCTAAATTATTGATTCAAAATGATTAGGCTAGCGTTCAAAGGCACCGATCATGCAACTTACTGTACAATTTTTTTTTAATTGCTAGGATGGGTGGACGACCTCACGGCCCACCTGGTGTTAAGTGGTTACCGGATTACCGGTTACCGGCCCATAGACATCTACAACGTAAATGCCGCCACCCACCTTGAGATATGACTTCTAAGGTCTCAGTACAGTTACAACGGCTGCCCCACCCTTCAAACCGAAACGCATTTACTGCTTCACGGCAGACATAGGCGGGGTCGTGGTACCTACCCGTGCGGGCTCACAAGAGGTCCTACCACCAGTAATTACGCAAATTATAATTTTTCGAGTTTGGTTTTTATTACACGATGTTATTTCTTTCATCGTGGAAGTCAATCGTGAAAATTTCTTAAGTACGTTCTCATTAGAAAAATTGGTACCCGCCTGCGGATTCCGAACATCGGTGCATCGCTAAGTACGAAAGCACCGGACGTCTTATCCTTTAGTCCACGACGGCTTCGACTGAACAGAAAGGATACAGACGACGTAAGTAAACGCCGGTACCATATCATAGACAATAGACATAGACATAGCCTTTCAATTGTAGTTACGATTCGCCCTTTCAAGAGAAATTTAACTTAATTTAAAAACAGAACATGCTCATCATTAGAATATAGACCAGTCCGATTGTATTGTATTGTCGTCCGTAATACAAGGGCGTACAACTGGAGCGTCTTATCCTATTATCGTAATGTAATTAAATATTTCTATATGTTAAATTCACCATGTAGCTTTACTGCCTGAGAGTCATCTATTACCAAAGAACATGAAGAGGCAGAACTATTAACATTTTTATGGCATGTTCAAAATCATGGCATTAAATGAACGGTTCGTTAACTAATTGTCTTTTAATGACAGGGGAGCCGATTGTGAGCAATTATCGCGCTGGCATTCATCGTGTAAATATTAGTCAGTGTACTGACAGACGTGCAACTAACCGAGCTACACTTTATGCTCACGTCTTCAAAAAACTACACAGTTCATGCTCAGGGTCAAACTAAAAACCCCTTAATTTCATAAACATCTTTATGACACTGTACACCGAAAAATGGTAATCCAAGCAAACAAAAGCACTGATTTTAAAAGACCCTTACCGCAAGAAAAACAACAAGATTTAACTGAAAAATGTTTGTTGTTGAGAATGTTTCATTAGAAACCCGCTTCTTTTGCCATTAAAGTCGACGAGAACACGGCCCATCGTAAGTAGTTACCGTAGCTGATGAACATCAACAATGCTAAGGGCACAGCCAAGACAACAACACTCCGGAGTAGTCTCCGCAAGCCCCGTTGGAGGAAGGACATGTCATAGCGGAAAACACCTTGATGGTGAAGTACGCGGCAGGAAAGATCTCTGGAAACGTACTATAGATGAACACAGCGGTTCCAAATAGTATGGATGATTCTGCTCCAGTGGCGGGCGCGAAAATAAAAAGTGGATAAAAAGAACATCTGGATTCTGGAACTACTCTTCAAAACATTAATTTAGATTCAATTGTCCCAGGCGTATTAACTTGGACAGGAAAAATCACCGAAACAAAAAATTACATAAAATCTAAATAGAACTGAAATTCCGGTAAAACTTAAAAAAACTCAGAAATATATCACTATTTAATCACGTCATTGCTTTTAATTATAAATTTATGTATATTTTACAACTTTACGTGGTCACGGACATGCGGAGACAGTTAATGTATTATTATTAGTCGTGTTGAAGAAGGCTCGCGGAAATAATTGTCTCATAGGTACTAATAAAAAATTACTCACTGCACAAGAGGTTTACTATCGTTCATTGAATCCATTCACAAAGTGTTTTATCCTAAGAAGTTAAGTATATTCATAGCAACCACGTTGAGAATTATCCGACGACAGTAGTACGATTGAAGCAGTGCCAGTGCCTTATCAACGGACAAGAAGCGCCTATCGGGGCACTCCTTACTATGTAGGTAGTTTAAGATAAGGCTACCCGACTAATTTATTAACATAGATTTTTGAGTGTAGTCCGTCCGTGTATAAAACGACCAGCTTTGAGGAACAACACTAATAATTTCGTTAGAAACAAGAAAAACCCATCGGATTGTTGATATATATATTTTTATTATAAATCTCTAAGATCAATGAATCGGTACATGGAATAATCATTTTTACTATTGCGTTAAGCAATACGGTCTTAGTTCACATTATAATTATTATTTAAATAAAGTGAAATTGCTCGCGGGACCGCGGTCCGCGGCACTAGCATAGTCTTCATGAATTTATCAAATTTTGTGAGGTAGGGGAGCTTATACACACAAACATTGTTTACATACCAAACATGTTCCTGCGGCACGGTACGCTCGGTACGCTTCAGTGGTTTACAAACACGGAGCGCTCGTATTATTCAATGAAACTCAATGACGCACAGGTTCTAAGTGTAATGAGGGATCAGCGGGTCGTGAGCTCGCACAGATCCTGTCTGTTCCAGCCGTAAAGCAATTGAAAACGCCGAGTTATGAGACAGGTTAGCAGTTATTTTTTTGGTTCGGTAACCGCTTGAAGCAGAATTGGTTTTAATAAAGTAAATTAAAGTTAATTTTTTCACCAAACATGAATTTAATTATTAACTTAAAAAATAGGCAGGCAGACCATCTTCAGTCTCAGGATCGAAATCACATAACACGTAATCACGTAACATATTTCCAACACTAGTATTGAATGTTGTTACAACACACCTTAAGCCGTTCATATATAATTCTGAACACGCATGTATCACATAACATATTATTGTTATTGTTTTAATACGGTCAGTGGTGTGAGAATATGGTATCATGCTAGCCTTATTTTGAAATCTCCACGGCGAAATAGGTAAAACGGTAGTGCCATCTACCCGAGAATCGAAAAAAAAAACTTGAAGCTTGGTAGCAACTTATTTTGAACGCATATACATGTACAAACCAGGACCCTGAAACTGCGATACTTTAAGACAAATATTTTTTTTAATGAAAACTATCGACATCTTGTAGCGGATGCCCCTAAACTTATATGTTGTTAAAGTTAAGGCATTTAATTATTGTATCACCAGCGGCACCGCCCGGGCGGCCTGGTAGGGCCGCCGTACCGCTGAGACCGATGTCGTTAGTCGTCGACTATCGCCTCAACGACCCGTCGGTCGGGCGTCCTCGGGGTGGCGCCGCGTGACCTGACCCCGGACGGAGATCGGACGTCGGGTGTAAGAGTGCAGGGGAGTCGTTTAGTGGGTGGGTCCTAAAATCCTTGGGCCCGCGATCTGCTCTCAACACCTGCAGATCGTTGAGTCTCACATACCCCGCGAGCCC